CTGAGCTAAATCCCCAGCCCTATTTTCTTTGATGAAACAGAATATCCTGTCTAAGCAAAACAATTTCTATAGTTATTCTATTCGGAAACATATACTTAGCTTTAACATGATGAGAAGTGATGACATGTTTCTGGATGAAAAACAAGCCTAGCCCTTCTAAACATGCTAGTTCAGTAATAATATATATGATCTTATTCTTCTGTTGTTCCACAGATATGACAACATTTAAGCATTGTTTAATTTATAAGGGCATTGTACCAATTTCAGAATGTATTAATTTGTAACGCAGTTTTAAAATTTAAAGTATATATACATAAAAAGATGGATAAAAATGAACCCCATTTTTATCTGGAAATGAAAATGAATGAAGCAATAGAAGTAACTAAGCACTCGGGTTGAACCTGTAACACATTCTTTCACTACAATGAAAACATTTTTATTAGATGTTACACCTACAGATTGGTAGGCTATTTTTAATATTATTTCCTTCAGAGATGTACCAGGTATGTACACACAAACTTCAATTCATTTCTCTTTTGAAGAAACACTTAAAATTGAGTAAAAACAAATAGTCTTCTAGTCTCAGGACATTTCACAAGCAGTATGAAGAAAAGAAATTACAGTATAGATTTGACACAAAAATAATTTGACGAAAGAGGGCTCTTTCATCTGCTTTCCTTTAGCTTGAGGGAGTTCTAAATTAAGAAGGTGGTAAAGAAGATAAAATGAGTCAAGCATAAACACAACTACCTATTTCAAAAGCATTTCATTTTAAAATGTCAGTGATGTATTTAGCCATTCTTCCTGCATTTTTATATAATTGTAAATTTTGAAAGTTTGCCTTTGTAAGAAGTTATTGACAATAAGTCCCATCTCTTTCAAATACCACATCTACTCAAAGGGACCTATACTTATAATTTTGCATTTTGAAAGGTACCAAGCCATTATAAAAATGAAATACTACTTCTATGTTAATAGAGTTAGAGGTCTTCCATGCAACTGTTCTAATAATAAGATTTTGAAAGCAATTTTAACCCACAAAGTCAAGCAATGACCTATAGGATTGATTTTCCTTCACCAAGGGTGTATTAATATATAATTTCTTTGGGTTTTAGAAATAACAGATTTATTTCAATATAAAAATAAAACAGTAATTCAACTCTAGTTTTAAATTGTTAAATTACTTCATGCCGATCTATTTTATGAAATATTATCTCTTAGTGACTACTATGTCAGGTTAATTTTATGTTGTTCCAAATAATTTATCATCTCTTGACAAAATATACTTTTTGTTTTGCTAGTCATACAAGAAATTTCTTTCTAGTGATAGAGCTTGTATAAAGTTTACTTTCTAAACTGATATTAAAGCATTACTTAGCTTTTATAAAATAAAAACAAAAATTAGAAGTAATTTTTTGTTCATGAATACTAAATGAAAAAAAGAAACAAAAGCCCTGGTGAGCTCATTTATATATTATAGAGTAGCTATAATTCTAAAGGAAACACTGCTTTCTCAGTATTTGAAGGAGGGAGTTGGCTATATTCAAAACTAAATAATGTTAACAAGAAAATAAAGATATCTAGGTTTATGGCATGTCTGAAGTTATGGCTTTGAGAAAAACTACTCTCACTGCCATTTTTCCTTTTTCCATTATTCACTGAATCCTCCTCAAACACTGCAGTGCTCCCCCAAATTTCTGTAAGTCAAAGTTTAACTCTGTTCTTTTATGGCCTTATAAATTTTTAAATTTTATAATGTAAACTAAAGAAAGAAACATTTCTCTTCCATTGGTGGTGGGAGTGCAGACTGGTGCAACCACTGTGGAAATCAATATGGAGATACATCAAAGAACTAGGATTAGAGGTTCCATTTGACCCAGCTATTCCTCTGCTCGGTATCTTTCTAAAAGAAATAAAAGAATCATACCACAGTGATATATGCACACCCATGTTTATAGCGGCACAGTTTGTAATAGTTAAAACTTGGAAACAGCTCAGCCATCAGTTGGAGACTGGATAAAGAAGATGTGTTTTTTCTTAAAAAAATGGAGTATTACTCAGCCATAAAGCATGAGAAACTAGAGTCATTCATAGGAAAATGGATGCATATTCAGGCCATACTCTTAAGTGAAATAAATAAGACACACATATGAATACTGAATAGTTCTCTGGTTTGAAAAACTGAAAGTGTAAATAAGATCCAAATTGTATAACAGATAATGTGAAATAGGAAGAAAAGGGCTAAAGGTGTAGGAAAAGTGGAAAGGGTAGGTGAAAGCAAATAAGGGAAAATAAATAATATGAGAAAAGGGAAAAATTAAAACAAAATTTTTGTAGATAGGAGAGGGTGGAGGGGGTGAAGGGTAGGCAGGGGTATGGGAAAAAACGAGAACCAAGACCTGTCATGTAAAGGTACAAGATCCCAATGATGAATGTGACTGTACTGTATACCTAAAATGGACCAATAAACTCAATGAGAAAAAACAAATGTGTAAATAAAATGAAGTATATGTAAATAGTAGAGTACTTCGCAATGAAGAATGAAATAATGTCATTTTCAGGAATGGGTAAATTTTGAGACCATAATGTTATAAGAAATAAATCAGAAAGTTAAATGTTACATAGTTTCTTATAGATGAAAAGCACAAAATAGAAATTAATTAGAGGGTAAAATAAATCAGCGATTATAGGAAATAGGAAGACAGACCTTTTGGAGAAGAGAAATGTGGTCAGGGTAAGGGGGAGGACAGGGAAGAGTATAAAGGGATAAAAATGACTTTTAAATGATGCACATTGTTCTAATTCCCCAAAGTGAATGTAACTTACGTATAGCAAATATGTGCTAATAAAAATATCATTCTCTGTATTCTATAGAGTTGTCAGCTTTGCTTTTACCAAGCACATAGGATAATTGATATTTTGAAGAATTATAACTAATGCAATGTTATTCATTAAGGATATTAATGAACTAACTATTGGATAGAAGATGCTTCTAAAACACATATATCCATTTTATTGTATTGCAGAATAAAAAGAGAGAACCATCTGTTCTCCACTTGACATAAATTCTTCTTCTCTAAGTATAGTAGAACAGCTATTGTTGGACTATTATCTGCCTGTAATAGAAATTTTGATTTATAAAGATGCTGAATTGTACATTAGCTTTATTGCTCGATACATGACTGTGAGTTATTTCAAGCAGAACTGTAGGGCTACAGTCATGATAGAAGCCAGAAGCTTTCTAAACTCACACAATAAAAGCATATATAAGAAAGTGATGTAAGGATTTTTACTTTATTGATTTAACTTCAGAAAATTTTCATTTTATTATTTAGCATGTGCACATTTTCATTTTGCTGGACACCACTGATCTAAGTTCAATGAGATTCTATCATCAGTGGGATTTAAGGGTAATTTTGGAGTTAGAAAATTCTTCTCCTTAATCTATATAATAAGAAACCAAGGACCAAAGAAATCAAATAATTTGACTGAGATTGCATGATTAGTAAATATTATACCCTGATGAAAGGCTAGTTCTCAGCCCATTGATCTATTTATATTGCACAATTATTGAAGAGAAAAGTGTACAGTTTAGTTCTTCCTACGTTCCACAGAAGAACTGATGCTTAAATAAATATCAAGAACAAGTTATTCTTAGTAACTATATGACTTTAAGTAAAATGAATGGGAATCACTAGTGTTTGTTACAATGAAAAAGTCCTACATAATTTTTAGGGTAAAGTGTAAAAGTAGATTCAGCGACAGCAGGAATATTTTAGCCGAGTAGGGATTTTCTAAGTAATTTTTTCAATATCCTGGACCTTCTTAAGTATTTTAATTCCCCACTCTTTTGTTTAAGCACATCAAGAAACTAAAATTGAGTGAAAAATTGGAAAAACATCTTTAATAAGGTAAAAAGTAGATAAGAAAAATTTTAGCATAATAAAACCCTTAGCTAAGAATTCATATTTTTCAAAGCATTCCATAATGAGTGGCATCACTGGCCTTCAGAGAAGTGAAAGGACATTTTATTTTATTAAATTGCTTATTTCAGTACAAAGCTAGCCACACTCAGTTTTAAAATTAATGTTAAAGCTATCACGCACATAACATTTTTTTTACTGTGGATGAAACTGGGGTACTGGTTGCCTGGACCCCCAACTGGGGATATTATTTGCATCTAGAAAGCCAAAATGTCTCTCTGGACACAGAGGAAAAATTGACTGAAGATATTTAGCAACAATAACTTACAAAAAACTCACTGAAATATCCGAGGCTTGCTGTGATTGATAGTTGTGTGAACAAAGGAATTGTAGTCTTCCCAGAAGTCATTTAAAAATGAAGCTTGCAAAAAGTGAATAGACAGGGCCAGGGATTTAGCTCAGTGGTTCTGTTGCCTCCCTCCCAAGGTCAAGGACCTGAGTTCAATCCTCAGTGCAAAAAAAAAAAAAAAAAAAAAAAAAAAAAACTGCAAATTTCCAATCAGAAAAGAAATGTTAGATCAGGTCAAGTGGGAGATGTATGTCCCTGTCCCAACAATTTAATGGCATTTTAAATATAAAAAGTACTGTTACTCAAATGTGACTATACAAACTCTAAATGTTCATTACTAAAACACTGTTTAGAATAAATTGAAAACAATATGAATGTACATTGAGGAATAACGGACTACAATAATAATTATTTATCTCACCACTCCAAAATGCCACACATAATTTGAAGGTGGTAGATCCAGGTGCATTGAGTGGAAGGGGTGTTCTTAACAAGGAATTAACTTTTTAAAAAGCACTAATGTATAGTTTGCATTCTAATTTTAATCTTAGTTTAATTTTTAAATTATGAATAGATAAATTATATTTTTATACATTTATGGTGTACAAAGTGATATCACAAGTGCAATAAAATCAAGCTAATTAACATAACTTTATTAGTCCATTTTCCTTTATTTTACTTTAATAAAATACCAGAAACAGGATTCTTTAAAAGCAATGTATTTAGCTCACATTGTGGGTGCTGGGGCTAGTGTTGTCATCCAATACGATCCTGGTTAGATAACATCATGGCAGATGGCATCACAGTGAAGGCGTGAGTATAACTGAGTGATTATATGGTGAGACAAGATACCAGAGACCAGGGAGGGTCAAGGCTTACTCTTACAGTCCTTTCATACAAACTAATCAGGATCCCAGGAGTATATGTTTCTTTCTAAGATACCTCCAATCACTTAATTACTTCTTCTGACCATTAATTATCATATGTCAAGTTGATGGAAATAAGAAATGCCTAGCAAACTAGTAAAGCACAGTTCTGCTTGTGTCTATATGCAGTTAATATGCATGCCAGCAATCTAAGAGTGGAATATCCAGCCTGGGTGGGGGTGGCACCAATAAATAGGCTTGTAAGCTGGATAGAATATAAGAGGGAAAGAAGAACATGTGCCCCTTTTAAAGAGCTCTAGTTTTTGTCATCGCCTTTGGACATTGGTTTCTTGTTTCTGAAGTCTTCCAATGTAGATTCCAATGGGAAATCCTACAGTAGTTTCAATGCCTTTGATCTTGGACTGGTGCTTGGTTTTTGAACCTTATTGTTCTGCAGCTTCCATCTTCTTGGCTCGAGCAGCTACTGAATCTTCCAGGCCTCCAGTGTGCAGAAGACTCTGTGGATTTTTTACCTCTGATCCTGCAGAGACAGCCCTTGTCTCGGAATACATGAAACTTTTCCAATTCGACATGAAAATCGTTAATAGTCCACAAAAGGTAAGTTCTCTTAAAAGTGCCATACCACCTTTACTTTATTAGAAAAAAAATTTAAAAGTATGTTATCATTTACTATACTATTCGTTATGTTGTACAATTTATCCCACAGTAAAGCAAAACCTATTTCTCTGATGTAATTTAGCCATCATACCCTTTGACCATCATCTGCTAAACCTTGCACTAACTGTCTCAGTACGCTCCTGTGGGCAGCACAGAGGATGAAAAAAATTACACAGAGATGAAACTTAGTTCATTCGCACAATGAGAGGTCCAGAGAAGTTATTCTAAACCAAGAACACCCAGCCATTAGGGAGATTCTCTGGAGAAGAAAAAGTCACGAAGCCGAGCACTCTCTGGCTTTTATTTAGAATATCAGTGTAAGAGAAAAAAAAAAGCAGTAGAAAACCAGTCTAGGCCAAGAATTGACTCAAGGAGGGCTGGGGATGTAGCTCAGTGGTACCTGTGCCTGCCTGGCAAGTTCGGTGTCCTATGTTCAATCCCCTGTACAAGAAAGAAGGAAAATAAAGAAAGAGAGAAAGGGGTGGTGGGAAGAGGGGAGGGGAGGTGGAGGAAGGGAAGGGGAGGGAGGGAGGGAGGAAGAAAATCGTCTCAAGGCTAGGCAGGGTGTTTTTGGAGAAAGAGGAAAGGCAACTGCTAGACATGGCACGACTCACTAATCTAAACTTTTTGTTTAACCTTTTGATTTTTACAAAACCTGTGGGCTTTTGCCCCATGGTTTAACCCTTCCCTATTCATACAGCCTGTGTGTTTTTTTCCCTGCAGTTTTATCATTCATCCTGGCCAAGTCCCTTATAACTACCCACCCCTATGCTGTGATAACTTATTCTATTCTCTGCTTCTTTGAGTTTGATTGTTTTGGAATTCATATATAAACAAGAATATGTAGTACTTGTCTTCCTGTGCCTGTTTGGCTTATTTCACTTGGAATAATGTTCTTCGACTCTTCTTGTTGCATATGACAAAATTGCTTCCTTTATAAAGGCTGAATATTATGGCGTGGATATAAAGCATTCCTCGAAAGTCTCCTGTTTAGAGGCAAGGCTTTTGAAAAGTTATTAGATCATGGGGCACTATACTCGTCAGAGGATTAGTCCATTGATGAATTTATGACCCAATGTACTATTAGGAGACGGGGCCCGGTTGGAGGAGTGGTCACTAGGAGGTATCACCTCCCTTTGCTCTCTGCTTCCTGTTTGCCATAGGTTGAGCACTTTCCTCTGCCATGCCCCGCCACTATGCCATTTCTGCCCTAGAGCCAATCAACTATGGACTGAACCCACTGGAAAGTGTGAACCAAGAAAACCTCTTCTCCTTTAAGCTGTGGGTGGGGAGAATTTTGTCCCGGTGACTGGAAACTGATTGATACACTGAATAACTTTCCACTATGTATAGATACCAATTTTCTGTATTTGTTGACCTATTGATAAACACATAGATTGATTCTGCAATTTGACCTTTGAGAACACAGCTACAATGAGCATGGAAGCAAATAAATCTCTTTGACATGCTTGTTTCACATCTTCTGGTTAAATATCTAGCATTAGAATTGCTAGATCATGTGATGACTCTAGTCTTTGTTTTTTGAGTTTTCTGCATATACTTTTACACCAGGGTTTCACTAGTTTATAGGTATATAAGAGTTTATATAGTGTACAAAGCTCCCTTTCCTTTATGCATCCTTCTATTATAATGTAATCTGTTTTTAAAGTCCCAATATACATTTGCATATGTATTTATATATATATGAAAATGGAAGGGTACATTTGGTTTTTACAAATGTACATAATAAAGGAAAACAGATGAAAGTAAACACATTAAATTCCAGAGAACAATTACATTTCAGGGGTGGAATAAGAAAATAGGAAAAGGAAAGGTCACTGATTTCATTTTATGTCCTCTTATAGCCTCAATATGCAAAACATATGATTTATTCAATTAATAAATTTCCAGAAACACGTATTTCTTTATAAAGAAGGGTAGGGGAATGGTAATAAGGGAAAATTAAAAATATTAGAAAATGAAAATATGGAAATAAAGTGTTTGTGAATGGGGAGAGGAGGAGGGGTGAAGGGAGGGCAGGGACAAGGGGAAAAAATGGGAACCAAGACCTCTCATGTAAAGGTACAAGAGCCCAATGATGAATGTAACTGTACTGCATACCTATAATGTACCAATAAACTCAATGAGGAAAAAAAAAAAGACTAAAGTGGATCCTGGGGGAATAGGAAAAAATAAGAACCACAATATTTTTTTTAAAAGACTAAAGTGGATTTAAAGACTAAAATAAGGATCAAAATGAATGATAGATAATGTGAAACAGGAAGAAAAGGTCCAAAGAGGAAGGGGAAGTTGGAGGCACAGGGGAAAGGAAAGGAGGAAAAGAAATAAATACGAGAATAGGAAAAAATGGAAGCAAAGTCTTTGTACATAGGGAGGAGTGGAGGGGTTGAAGGGAGGGCAGGGGAATGGGGAAAAAATAGGAATCAAGGTGTATCATACAAAGGTATAAATTTCCAATGATGAAAGTCATCATATTGTATACCATATATGTACCAATAAAAATGAATTTAAAAATGTAGTATTCCAAGGTGGACTCTTAGGAAGCTAAAATATAAATTAAAAAGTAAAGTAAAATAATGGGGATAGGAAACAACAACAACAACAAAAATATCCAGATGGGGAAAGGAATCACAGGATAGGGGAAAGGGTTTTAAAAGGATAAAAAATTTTCAAAATATGTTATACACATATACCAAATGTTAGTCAGCTTTCTGATCACTGAGATACAATATCTGATACCCACAGTTTAATGGAGAATAAGTCTACTTTGGCTTACTTTTCAGGAGATACTGTCTGTGGTAGGCTGGCTCAAAGACAGAAACATCACAGGGGAAAAGTGGCAGAAGAAATGTTTAGTTCATGACAGCCTAGAGGAACAATGTCAGAGAGAAGAGGGCCAGGGACCATATACAGTACCCTAAGTCACATTTCCTTGACCTGCTCAGAACATCTAGACTTATGCTTTACCAATCCTGTAGGCCACTGCCACACCTATCAAATTAACACAATTAAGCTTAACCACCACATACTAAGTCCCTGAAAATGAATGTAACTATTGCATATTGCAAACACACACTAGTAAAAATTATGATATATCTAAAAATTAATTTAAAATTAAAATGTAAGTAGTTTAACAAAATATGCTTGTGAACATATGGCCAACAATATTGAATTAGAAATCGGTGGTAATTTTAGAAATCAACAGTCTTAGCCTTTCCTTCTATCTGTGCCTTTTACAACTGCAATCTTAAACAAGCTTTAAGTAAAATCTCCTCATGACACCGCTGTAACATGTTAAACAATGTTAAAATGGTTAAGCAAGGAGAGTTTTGCATTTCTTTTGAAATCTCTTCCAACCTAACACAATCTACTTAATAAAACAATAAGCAAACTTATGTAACATTATTGCATAGCAAATATTACAGTTTGATTGTGTTCCCAAAGTTCATGTGTTGGAAACTTAATATTTAAACTCATATGTTGATGAGATTTGGAGGTAAGCTGTTTGGATGGTAATTAGGCTTAGGTAAGTCCATGAGCTTGGAGTCCCCACGAAGGGATAGTGACTTTTAAGATGAGAAAGAGATAATTGAGTATGCAAGCTTGCTCTTGCCATGTGATGCCTTCCACTGTATTATGACACAATAAAAAGGTCCTTACCAGATGCTGGCATCTTTAGATTGGATTTTTCAACATCAAGAGCTAAGAAATAAATTTCTTCAACTTTCTATTACCTTCAATTTTATGATACTTTTTCTTTTCCTCCCATTTATTATGCTAGGAACATACTTGTTCCTTTTGACATGTTTCAGTTAATAGTTGCATCATTTATAAAGCTAGCCTAGCCAGTCCCTCGACTCATTAAAAATATTCAAAATATATCTTCACTCTATTTGATTTTCTCCTTTTTCCTGAAAACATTTTAAAATTAATTTTATTGGTACATGTTTGGTATACAATATGATGACATTCTTCATTGGACACTCATCATTGGAAATTTGCACCTTTACATAATCTATCTTGGTTCTTATTTTTTCCCCATTCCCCTGCTCTCCCTTCAACCCCTCCCCTCCTCACTACTTCCAAAGACTTTGTTTCCATTTTTTCATTTTCTCATATTAATTCCATTCCCTTCTTTCCTTTTCCCTACCCCTCCCATTTCCCCTTCCCCTTTGCACCTTTTCTTCTTATTCATCATTTTAAAGGTCACTTGCTATGGTTCAATGATGGTAAGACTGCCACAATTACAAAATTAAAGACAAGAATTATTCATGCCAATGGTTCTTCTCAAGTGGCTCTTTAAAACCCTGCGGAGGGGATCTATTGCAATATGCCAGCACATTTTTGTTTGTCTCAACTTGAGGAAGGGTGACTATAAGAGTATATTAAATAGACCAGGGATACTACAAAACATCCTATAATCCATAGGACAGCCCCATAACAAAACTCTGTCTGGCCAAAATATCAATAATATTCAGCTTGAGAAATCTCCTATGGTTTTACCTTCTTATTGGAAGATTTTTAAGAATTGCTTACATATTTAGATTGTAGAACCATTTTTTAATAATTATCTAAGAATATAGTCCAATATTATTCTTATATGACCAATATTTGATTCACAGAGAGAATATTTCTGTATTATTATTAATAATGTTGTGATGAACATAAGCTAAGGTGAATACAAACAATTCTTGCTTTTAAATAATTCCCTCTCCTTGAAGTCAGCAGGAGCCTGTATCATGTTTCTAGCAAAGATGGTCTGATAGTCTCTGCCTTGATCATGTTAAACCATATAAGATTCTCTCTTAGATAACTGAAGCAAGAGTGTCCTAATGGCCTAAAGAAGTAAGAGGTTATGTTATGACTGGGCCTATGACAAGATCACTTGGCAAAGATTTCTGGGAGCCCTAGGAGCTGAG